CATACCAGACAACCGCGCTGATTGACACATGTTGATAAGTACACAATACGACAGCAATTTACCTTAATTCACCTGATAGATAACAAAAATCCGAATAAGGCAAAATCATAAAACATACAGGCATAAGCAGTAAATAAAGCACAGATAAATAAACGTTACCTTGAGTACCATGGCCTGGCCAACGCATTGCCGCTTCACCTCATGGGCGAGTACCTTTTCGGTGAACGGCTGCAACGAAGCGCACCGCATTTCGATCCCAGCGATACTCGTGTCACAGACAAAGTTAGTCAACCAACAAAAGACAGATAACCGACAATGAAAAATGAATCAAACACCAAAGAGGAAGTGCCTCTACTACCACCCCAAACCGCAAGCCACCCGAATGACACCAGCAACGCTGAGATCACTGACGAACGTCACCATGCTTTGCAGCGATCGCTAGATAAAGATTTTCATGCGAGCGCAGCGAGTTTCGCAACGATCTACCATGCATGAAAGTAATATAAAAAAAAAGATACGTCAAAAAATTAAGCGCGGCAACGAAATCAGTGTCAACGGTTTTAACGGCACCTACAAAGTAGCAGACTACACGTTATAGCCTTTATAAGTTCGAAATGCTGCAAACAAAATATCACACAATTGATAAAAGCAATTACAACCAAAATAAATTTCGACTTCGCCATCCTCACGAAAAATAAACGAGGAGGGTTCAATAACAAAGTCGTCCATAAACTTAGTAACCTGCTACTATTGAAAGTGACACTATCGATCGCTATTAAGAGGGGTCTTCTCCTCTGTTACCAGCGGCCACGCAGAACTGAGGCCGACTAAGTAAACTTTGCGATCAGAACCGCTACAAGCATTCGGGCAGCTAGTTGCTACAGCTACGACGATAGATGTCGTTAAACACCAATATGGTGACAGTGTCTGTTGACCATATAGTCATATATACTGCTAAAAACGGAGAAGGCAGATGGAACCATGCCATTATAGCACGTCAAAGAAAGTTTCACTGGAACGATGCAGAAAATAGGAGCAACCAGGTGGAACTTTGAACATCTAGGGAAAAATACAGGAGCGTGTAGATGAAGTTCAAAGGCATTGACTGGATACAGTTGAATATTCTTCAAAAAAGGCTGCTACTCTTGAATACTGAAATTCTGTGGATGGAAGCGATTTTATTAAGATATCGACACTATCACGTCTCGCTAAAGACGGTGATAGTGTTCTACAGGAGCCCAACCCAGCTGACAAAGTCATTTAGTGGAAGCCTGACACAGGAAGACGGCCAATTATCCGACTGAAGTTGTGACAGACGAAAGTTTTTATCCCTTTGCATGTCTATGGGCCCATTTCCGAGGGAAAATATGAGCTCATTCTGTAGGATATAAAGTGCTCTGTGAAAAGCAGCAACTGCGAAAAGCATCACTCTGATCGGCGTTTGTAAACATTTGTTAGAATGTACAGTTAAATCTGAAAAAGTGTGATTTCGAAGAACGGCCCAAACAACCTCCGCACTTTAGACATGAAATTGTTGCAGCTTTGTGCAACCAATGAAATGAACACTTTCTTCTAGCATCGAAATATGCGTCAGAATACCTACTGTAGGAATGCCGCGCAGAGAAGATTACAACTTGATCATCATGCCATTTAATTTACGGATGCTCGCATTAAAAGCAGCGGAAAGCTGCCAGCGAATAATCAGCCACTTTCTGGCAACCTTTTCTCCAGATGATAAAGAAGCGTGCAAAAACGTGGTGGCAGAGGCAACCAGGAAATCAAAAAGGAAATATTCTAATCCATGGATATTAATCTGAAATTTGCTAACAACATCGCATGGCGGTTTGAAGAGATTCCAATGATAACGGCTGAAGTGGAAACCAACAAGAAGCGCTTTCATAGCGAATTAATCAAAGCTGTCCTCAAATACTGTGGTTGAAAACAGGTTGGCCTTCTGCCTGGAATTTAACAACGATCTATCAGATGAACATAGAATGTTCAACTGGCTGTACCCAGCGGCTTGCCTGGAAGCAAAGAGCCTTCAACTAGAGCGCAAGACAAGAAGCGTAAGATGGCAGAGAGAATATTTGCCAAAGCAAAACCTGATTCCTAGAGAATCTTCGACGAGGTGCTGAAGTCGAATTTCCAGTAGGCAAACAGGGCAATTTGGCATACAATCCGTAGTCTCCGAAATGGAAAGACGAAAACCTGAGAGTCGCAAATGCAAAGCTCTGCACTTTCTTTCTTCAGAAGAACATTCCGCTCGATAAACAAAGTACTAGAAACTACTTAGCCCCGAGCGATCATGTTAAGATTCATCTGAAGCGTTGAAGGCAAAAAGTAACCATCTTTCAGTAGATGAAGTCACAAAAACTGTAAAATGCTTGAAAAATGTCAAGACTGCTGGAATCAACGAAATTCGCACTGAAATGCTTTCAGTTTTAATCCAATAGAGCATGTTGCGGCTATCAAATGTTTGTCAAATTACAATACCTACTATGAAGACACCATTAGTCCAGAAAACAACGATTGTAATTCATTTCTTCAAAAAGCGATAGCATACCGAAGGCTCGAATTATCGTTGCATTATTGAACCTCCGTTAAAAGGCTATACGAAGATTTTAGATAGGAGGCGCCACTGTACAGCTGATTCCAAAATCCAAGATGAGCGGTGTAGCTTCATGCTGCTCAGAGGCACCTCTGACTACATCTTAACATCTACCAGATTGTTAACAGATCATTTAAGAATGCTCATCCAGTTTACATGTGCCTTGTTGTCCTGGACAAACCTATAGCCAAAACTAAGGCAAAGGGTTTAGTGAAACAAGTTGTGAGCGAGCCTGCATATGAATGAGATCGCAAAGTAATGGCTAGGAATCGTCCTGTCGTTGAATAGTAATTGCTAATATTGTGTCTGAGTGAACAGCGATAAATCGACACCCTGGTGGTTTCGCTTGTCTCCGCACAATGGATGCGTTTTGCCCCTTCTATAGTTCAGTAGTAAATTGGTTTGATAGTCAGAAGCAGCTAAAACGATAGTATATCGGCGTAAAACACGTGAAGGCGAGAAGCTAGGTCTTAGCATAGGACATTTCATGATTTGCATCTTCTGAAACATGATCCCCAGCGCTCTTGGGAAAGGTTCACAGCCGAGTACAAGGTAGCAGGCATGCGTATGATTGAGCCAAAATGGAAAGGCTTCGTGCTTTCTAGTTCTCTTGCGCTCTCCAAATAAATGTGTGAACAATGGCACCATTAAAGCACCTCTGAGTCATGATCACTGATGACGGAAAATTGCTAACGCAATCCATTGACGAATTGGAATGGATGGCGTCGTTCTGCATGAACTAGCCAGAATCGTTATGAGTGAGGCCTAGCGGAGTCTAACAACGAAGTTCTTTGTGTGTAAGGCGATCTTCATTTCCCGTGCTCGAATCTGATTAATTGGAAAATCATTGATCCCGAGTACAGGCAGGTGAAATTGGTATTCTAGGACTAATCGCTCAGCAAATGCGTTTGGACATTGTCCACAGTACAGCTTTGGTGTACAGCCCCTACTTCTCATGATTGAAAAATCACAGCTGCGAAAATTTGGATACGGCATGTGAATGGCAGTGCGAAACGTCTACAACTTGGTGAATTTTATGACTGATGTCCAGTGTGGTGATCAAATTCTTGCAATTAATAATTCGGCTATGAAAATCAAATTTATGTGCAGCGGTTCTGAATCTGTGTTGCCGTTATGACAGCAATCACGGGAGAAAACGAGTTGATGATAATCATTTAGACGTAGCGTGCAAGCGACAAGTAATGCTGTGCGCAGCACCATGCCATATTGTAATTTACAATGGAGCATTTCAGCCATTTGATGAACCACTCACAGTCTTGAGGTCATATTCATATGCATATGCATATTATCACTGGTAGTCAAAGTTTCCTAGCTTTTTCAAACGGAGTGAGGTCGTTATAGACTTTGAATATCGGAAATAATGTTACGGCTTTTCAACAGAGTAGGTCGATAATCATGGCTGAAGTCGCAAAGCAGACCCCGGAAGAACCAAGCTTAATGCTGAAAAGGTTTCAGAATGAATTCTATGGTCAAATTCAATTCAGTCTAATTAAGTAGTCTGAATTTAACTGGAACCACGCTGATCATTGACATGAGTGGCGCTTTGAAAATAATGACTGTTCTTAAGAAAGATCAGTTAAGCATGAATAGGTCAAGGAAAATTTAGATAAAATAGGTCGGACATACACGATGTACATTTTGCTTCGCTCTACTGTTCCTCCCTATATGCTTCTCGATGCTACCTATCCAATGTAGCTGAATTCGTGCCAAAGAAAATACATGGCTTTCCGTCAGAAATGTAATATTTAAAGAAAATGTAGTAGCAAAATCAAAAAATGCGCTATATACCTGTCAATTTTGTCTTCATTCCTTATTCCTGCATAGGTGGTCATACTGAAAAAGCAGCGTAAAATCCGGTTTGCTTTTTAAACATATACGTTATGCTGTGGCCAGTCCAGTAACTGACCAGCACTGACCAGCACTGACGTTTAATTCCGTGTCTCACAGACCTCATTCAAGGTACGTTGGTTGTGAAGTTACGTGAATGTGGTTGGTACCGTTAAGTTAACTGATCAAGTCATTCCGTTGAAATTGTAAAAGCCGTCACTTCTGTATCAATTCCAAAATGAACGCAACACCTTTATGGTTTTACTCCTGCAAACATGATTTGGCACTTCTAGAATCGAAAGCAGAAAACTTTCATAAAAATGTATGCAAGCTGAAAGCAGCCCTAGCCGAACAGTTTCAGAAACAGTAAGCGAGTAATCTAAGGCAGGAAAATGCCGGTTTTATGCACAAAACTATACCTGAAGGGATGGCCACAGTGATAAGTACTTACAGAAAAATATGAAGTACCTCAGGAAAACAGTCAAAAGGATTCTGCTAATGCAAAGTATGTCAGACAAAACGAAGTTGAATGTGATTTGTTGGTAGGGAATTCGGTTCGAAGTTGTTTAAAAGGACAAAGGCAAGTTAGTAACGAGTCTACGTTGCGTTTTGCAAGTGGGGTTGAAAAAATGTTGTGTTATTAACTGATAATTCACTTGAATAATGAAATCGGACAGTGTTTCGATGTGATCGTTGAAAAATGGGGAAAAATAGGTTGACGTGAACATTAGATGGCTAATGAAGCTCATGTATGTACACAGCAGAACGATCAGAGAAAAAGTCACTTCGCACG